TTGAAATTTATAACAGGTTTCTCAAGCTCAGTAGCTGTTATCAGTTTTTCCAGTATTGATGAGAGTTTCCTTCCTAACCTTTTGTTTGAAGTGGTGTGGAAAGCCAACATCTTAATTAAGTCATTTTCATTTCGAGTTACATGTGCTATCCATTTTAATTGTTGCTGCTGTTGGTAATCTTCAAATGAAGCGGTTTCTGTTATTTGACACAGTTCTTTGTGATTTTTTGTTCAAAAAACGATGATCTTGCCCAAGACGCCCAGGCTTCACTCGCTTAAAGTCATTTTTCACCACTGATCTTAGTTAGCGGTTGTGGACAGCTTAGATATTTCAGAACGGGTTTGGCACCATTCATAGCATAAATATGAAAGTTTCAATTTGACGAGGCTTTTTAAGAATATGACTCAAGAAGATAGTTGTAGAAAGTACCATGAAAAGATTTGCAGATCTAAAGGCCAGAAAAAATGCTTTAGGTAGGATAATGAAAGTTTTATTTAGTTTGTATGAAGTTGTATATTGTAATCAACTCGTTATTCTACGTTTTCAGTTTTTCTCCTTTGAAAATTTAAAAAATATATACCTGTAAGGGTGCCAAAGTTCAGTTTACCCGGGGTGCTAGCAATTTAGTGTCGGTACTGATGCCCATATAGGGTTATGGCTTTTTTGTAACCCTATATTCCTTGTCGTAAATCGATGAAATTCTGCCCAAAAGTAATGAAAAAAGCAATAAATTTAGTTCCTGAAAAAAGTCACCTCTTAACCGAAAATTTGATTTTACCATAGCCGCGATACAGGTAAAAAAGTCAAAATATTTTAGAAGCTATACTTTTCAATTTGCTAATGATATAATTCGATAGTACTTATGTATTTTTAATGCATTTAACAATTTATAGTTATAGCATAACATAGAACCTTACAAATAAAAAAAACAACAAATTCTAGGAGGTACCAAAAACTCTGGGACGAATCGGCGGTTTTAATATTGAATATGACTTGGAGAACTAACATATCAAATATTGAGTCTGACATTACGAATCTTATGGCAGTAAAGCATCAGCCACTGTATAGCTTTCGAAAAAGATAATTAAAGTACATAGACCTATATATATATATATATATATATATATATATATATATATATATATATATATGTGTGTGTGTGTGTGTGTGTGTGTGTGTGTGTGTGTGTGAGAATTAGGGCTATGAATTTTTGTAACCCAATATTCCGATATTCCTGTGTCATAATCGATGAACATTTATTCGAAGGAGTGGCCTGGGCTCGATGGCATAGCATTGCAGTACTTCCCTCTCTACCTCTTGTCGCTGACACACACACACACACACACACACACACACACACACACATATATATATATATATATATATATATTAGGGATATGAGTTAAGACATTTTAACCCTAAGTCCCTGTGTCACAAATTAATGAATTTTTTTATTAAATAATGAAAAAGGTGTTAATTTCTTTTAGTTTTTGAAATAGGTCGCCTCAAAACTGAAAATTCGATTTTGCCATAGCCGCAATACAGGTAAAAATTCAAAATATTTCAGGTGCTTTATTTTTCAATTTGTTAATGATATAATTTATTAGTATTTATGTATTTTTAATGCAATTAACAATTTATAGTTATAGCATAACATACAACCTCATAAATAAACAAAAACAAGTCCTCGGATATACAATGTGATAGGTCCTGATCTGGCATCTCGTCCATAGTCACTTTCTTACAGACGTGCTGCGGTTTCCCTCTGTCTTTTCTACAAATATTTTCATGGCAACTGCTCTGACGAGATACTTTCACTGGTAACCCAACTGCATGAATTTAAGCGTGCTACTAGGTTGGCGTCTTGGTTCCACCCTGAAACAGTTAAATGTAACCGCCTCTTCTACTCCAAGAACTTCTTTTCTCGCACTTCCCGACAGTGGAACTCCCTTCCTTCTGCTTGCTTCCCTGCAAATGATTTAAATGTAATGTCAATCGACATCTTCTGATGCCTTGATCCTGATCCCCGTACTTCTCTATATCCTTTTCTCACACACCCCTGCTTACTCTTGCTCTCACTCTCTGTAACCCCTTACGTGCTAGTGCCTCTCCCTCTTTGCTTGGGGTGAAATGCTTAAATAAATGTCCTAGATGGTCGCATAAAGTTCTAGGAGGCTCCGGAAAGTCATAGTGACATTTAAAAAAATAAACTGAATTAAACCCTTCTTCAATATTTTTTAACAAAAGTTAATCGAATTATGATACAGGAAATCAATTAAAAAGTGAAAATGTCATAACCTTAACCAATGAAAAACTATAGAGACACCTCCCAGTGATAAAGAACAAAGTCTGTGGAAGGCTTGTAATATTTAGTGACCATTGTTGGAGAATAACCAAGAAGGTCTGCATCGGCTTATACTGTGGTATCCAAATTATGGGAATAGATCAAGAGGTAGGCCAGCAAGGACCTTCATCGAAGAGACGATATCGCAATCAGAAAAAAAAAAAAGTAAGTAGGTGAGGGCTATGAATGGCAGAAAGATTGGAAAGAAGATGGTCAGAAACGTTCGTTTGTGGGCGTAAAGAATCGATGGTTACAGAGCCATGCTTATCCTGAGTCATTTTTCTTTACTATTCTTCACCCAATAAAATGCCTGAGAGCCACTCAAAGTAGAGCGTTTCATTAAGGTGCACAGGGAGGGAGGAAGAAGTGCATACCATGAGTATATGCGGGAATGATAATGGTTGAATCCAAACTTGAAGGTGTTAAGACTGTTGATCAGAAGAGCATCCACTCAGGAGTCTGTTCCGTGATGTAACAATTCTATGGAAGAAATTGTCTGAGTAGAACTTCTTCCTTACCAATGGAATATGATAGGAATGAGGATGAGTCAACGCAGTGCACGTAGCATAGGATTTCCAAACTGTGAAGCCAAAGAATGCAGTTCGCCCAAACAATTACTGTGAAAATAGTGTTAGAATTTAGTCTAAAAGAAAAGGGGTTGTAGGGTGGGAAACAGTTTTTCACCCATAAAGCTGAGTAGATGCTTTTGAACTTTGTTGGCGTTGGAAAGAGAGGATTAGATAGGTCAGATGAAGCAGGAGTACTTCTTTCTTTGGTGTGATCTGACACTTGTAAAGAGCGTGGTAGGAGGAGTCAGGTACTTTCTGGGATGGTACAAGGGACTGACCATTTTTCTAGCATCTTTAGCGATGGATCGTATATGCGAGTACCACTTGAGGTCTGCAGTGTGCTTGTGTCCCAAAAGACGTTCCGGACAAGGAGACTCGTTGAAAGTGCAACTGTTCATCGTGGCTTACAAATATATGGCGCTTAACGAGAGTCGAACTCACTACAGTAGTAATGGGCCAGTAAGCCTAGTTTAGAAAAGGTAAATCAGTTTGATCAAGATGAAAGTTTAATGAAAAATTTTCCGGGTGGCCTATTGAATTTTTTATTATATCTAAAGAATATCGAGCATTATTTGTTGTTGTCCACATAACACGACACATGAAGTTCTGGGTTAGATGGTACCAGTTGCTGGCAGAAGTATCTGACCTGACTTAGAGGAGTAAGTACAAGTAAACCTATTGACTATGAATTCTTGAGGAAACATACTGACATTTTAAAAACTTTAGATGCAGAAACGAACCAACTTAAAACAACTGGGAATTATACTTAGGGCATTTTCCATTCAATTCCTGTCGCTGGCTTCTGTGGAAATGAAATTTTCAATTTTCACTCGAAAGGACGAACGTTACAGGAATTAAAAAAAACGCAGAATTAAAAAAAAACCCAAAAAACAAACAAACAAACAAAAAAAAAAAAACAAAAACAAAAAAAAGATGGCCCTCATTACAGAATAATCGACAAAATAGAATACCAAAGCAATGTGGATGTGCGGGTGGTGTAATGGATAACGGCACTGGATGCAAAATCGGAGCGCCGAATTCGAATTCGTTACATTCATTTAAACGCAGATAAGTTTGGGAATCGATCTTCTCCCTCACCCCCAGCAATAGGTTAAACTTCTATCTGTAAAAATATTCACTCGCCCAAAAAGAAGAATTATTCTTACAATTCATGTGCAAATTAATTGAAATAAAACGAATAATTCCGTTATTTACTTTTTTCGTATTCTTTCCAATGAAACATGACCCAGCGCACATGTACTTCGTATGTCCATTCCACTAAGTCTTTCCATGCAGATTGGCCACAGATTCTCGATTGGATTTAAATCAGGAGAATTCCCGAGTCAGTCTATAGTACTTTGATTTGCTCACTGGTAAGGCTTGACAGTGGGTTCGTGCAGCGTTACAATTTTCGTACGCTTTCATCACACACACCCAAAATGGATTCATATTACTGCACACGACTGCAAATGACTTAACTGAGGAAAAATAGAAATCGATTACACCCTCTCACTCCATTGGAGCTAAAACTGGCTGTGAAAGAAAAGAAAACTAAAGCGGTTGTTTCAATTAATTTGCACAAAGGTTTGAATATTTTTTTTTAATTCAGTTATTTCACGAAATAATTTTCGAGTTCAAATTCTCTGTCTTATCGAAAATCTTTTTTATTTGAATAAGATTGATTCGTTTTTTACGGCTTATCAACCCTTTTCAGGTTATTTAAAGCCAGAAAATATTTTTAGACTGTAACAAATTTTTGGAGATAATTATAGTAGAATGATACACGTCTTACTAATTAACCCATAACTGGGGAAAAAGAAGTGGATTCATTCCTTTTCCAGGGGGATTTCGTGTGTAAGTGAATATAATGAATTCATCTATAATTGGAACTCGACTCTCCGATTAACAATTCCGAGCCATTATTCATTACATCTCCCGCACATCCAAGCTTACAGCGCCTGGTATTCCCTAGCGATTACCAATCTAGGTATTGACCAGGCTCGTCGTTGCTTAACATCGTATAGGAACTCGACTCTCCGATTAACAATTCCGAGCCATTTTTTCATTACACCAGCCGCACAGACAAGCTTACAGCACCTCGTACTCGCAAGCGGTTACCCATCTAGGTACTGACCAGGCTCAACGTCTCTTAACTTCGGTGATCGTACAAGACCTAGTGTTTCAATATATATTCAATATTTATTGACTCTTATCGTATTTGAAAATCACCCCGACACTATGGACTCTCCGGTCGCGTTTAGATGAAACGTCTGCAAGGATTTCACAAAAAGATTTCCAGTATGTTTTAGTTCCACGTGCTATGCCTTTTCCGGATGAGGGCACATGGCCCAGTAGATAAAGAGGTTGGTTAGATCTAGTGACTAGACCCAGTGTTGTGAGTTCAATACAAGGCCACAGCAGTCGTGAAACTAAAACTGGAGAGTTGAATTAAAGGGAAATAACTGAGACATCCGGAAGAGGCAAGACACGTGGAACTAGAACAATTTAACCAGGTGGACGAAATAAAGGGTTCGATTCGAAATTCCAATAGCCTGAAGTAAGACGGAGCTTACAACGGTCGAAACGTTGTGAATATGACAATGAAGATGGGGATAACAGTTCGAATAATGTAAATAATACAACGACGACGTCTTTTTTACAATTTTGATTTTCCACTGGCAGGAAAAGTCATGTGGAAAACATTACGGTAAAAATAATAACTAGTTTCTAGCTAGATTATTAGTTTTATGTTTGTTTTATTTAGTTCAAACGAAAATGTAAAAATTTGGTTTAGCTAATTGGATGAACATTAAATTTACAATCTATATCGAATCATACGTTAAAATATTTTGGAATTAAAAAAAATTAAACAAAAAACAGAAATACCCAACAAAGAAACGCCTGTATGGACATCTTCCTCCTATTTCAGTTTCGCTAAGAGAGGTGAAGGCTTCGGCTAGCTGGTCACTCCTGGAGAAGTAAGTCAGGACTTGTGAGTGACACCCTCCTATGAAACCCATTGCACGGCAAAAGATCGGTTGGAAGACCTCATCACACCTACGTTGACCAACTTGTAGATGACTCTGGATGCCATCTGGAAGACATACCGACATCGATGTCTAACAGAGATGGTTGGAAGGAACGATCGGGAGAATCCAAGAAGAATTCTGACCTGAATATGATTATTATTATTATTTAATGATGGAATTAAACAGGGTTAAACACCATGAAGCAACACTTGACGGAACATACACAAAGATGTTACAAGTTGCATTAGACATCAGCGAGAAGAATCACCCAACAAAGAAACGCCTGTATGGACATCTTCCTCCTATCTCAGTTTCGCTAAGAGAGAGAAGGCTTCGGTTAGCTGGTCCCTCCCTAAGTAATCCAGAACTTGTGAGCGACGCCCTTCTAGGGAACCCATTGCGCGGCAAAACAAAAAATCGGTTGGAAGACCTCATCACGCCTATATTGACCAACTTGTAGATGACTCTAGGTGCCATCTGGAGGACATGCCGACATCGATGTCTGACAGAGATTCTTGGAAGGAACTAGTCAGGAGAATCTGAGAAGTATTCTAGACCTGATGATGATGATGATGATAATGATGATGAATATTCCAAAAACCTGCTCTGGAGTCCCATTTGTAACCACAGTTAATTTAACGGCTACTGTTACTGTGCTGGCTATAGCTTAAGACATCCTTGTTTTGTATGGTGACACAGAGACGGATAAAAAAGACATTTGGCAAATTCGATTAATTAATATATATTAACAATAATCATTTTTATTAATACTATTGAGAAAAATAGTATAACAAATTAGGAAAAAAAAACTTTTTGTGAGGCGTTTCATTCGTTAGGATTTTATCGGTTGATATTGCCACGTCTACGCATGCGCACGAAACCAGAGACGCTGGTAGTTTCAAAATTTTTGAAAGAATATTTTTGGAAAAAATATATTTGAACGAATATTTTTTCAATTTGGCCAAATTCATCTGTATTCTTTTTCTTTTTCTCTCCATCACCCATCTCCTTGACTATTCCACATTGTTACAACAGAAAATCTAATTTAAAATATTTACACGAAGAGGAGAAATATATAGAAAATACATTCAAGACCCTTAAATACCCTATTTCATATGTAATGTGAAATAAAAGGCTCATAAAATATTCCAAAATAGAAACTTCCTGACAAACCCAACGAATCAAAAAATATATTATTCTACCCACTAACTCTATCACAACGACAACTGAAAAGAATTTATCTAAACTCAATATAAAACTTGTCACAATTACATCTAAAAGAATCAAAGACTTAATAAAACAAAAGCAAAACAAGCCAAAATTTGAAGGAGGAATTTACTCTATCAATTGCAGGAATGGCCAAAATGAATACATTTGAGAAATCTCAAGGAGTTTAAATGAAAGCCTATATGAACACAAAAGGGACATTTAAAAAAAAACACACACATACAAAACGAATTGTTTGTTCACTGTAACAAGACGGAATGCAATTTTGTAATAGGGGATGCTACTTTAATTAAAAGAGAAAATAATTCACTGAAACGAAAATGTCTGGAAAGTGCCTTGATTACCAGCTCAGTCAGGATACAGTTGCATCCGGGCTCTTATGATATATCACCATTCTTGGTAGATTTTATATCGTTAAAATGTTTGCAGTTCCGATGCGTGTGTGCTGGAGGATGACTTTGTCGTTCATTCAGCATATGGGGACCGGTCTGCCAGAGGTGTTTCTTTGCTTGTCAGACGTACTCTCGATGCGAAGGTGGACCTTGTGCAGACCGATGCAGAGGGCCGGTTGATCGTGGCCGATATTGCCGTGAAAAGTGGTTCGTTCCGGGTCGTTGCGGTTTATGCGCCCAATGACCAGGGGGAGCGGGTCTCGTTCTTTCGGCGGTTGGGGCCGTTCCTGGTGGATTCAACGCGCCTAATTTTAATGGGGGACTGGAATGACATCCTGGACCCCAAGTTAGACAGGTGGCGGGGGGGGGCGATCGCAGCCTGGTCGATCTGATCGACGATTATGGTCTCGTCGATAGATACCGGGTCGATCATCCCGAGGGAAAAATGTGGACGTGGGCTCTTAATTGACCTTTTGACAAGCTGGTTAGCTACCTTGACAGAATGTTAGTGAGAAGAGCCGACATAGAACTACTAGATTGCCCTACGTTCCACTGGGTAGGCTATTCAGATCACAAACTCGTTTGTGCACGGGTAGCGTTAGACAATAGGCCTAGAATGGCTGGGTACTGGAAGTTCAACCTGTCTTTACTGAACAGGCAGGACTTCCAGGAGCAGATAGACTAGTGCAGCGAGAGCTAGTGGGGGCGGTTATCGGGAATAGATGGTGGGAACGCCTTAAATGTAGGATTAGGTCCTTCACCACTGATTTCAGCAAACGGCTCGCTCTAGATAGAGCTGAAAAGGTGAAGACGCTTAAAGCTAGTTATTCCCGGGCAGTGGCTGGGGGGGGGATCCCCTAGAGATAGCCTTAGCTAAGGAGGCCCTGGATCGATCGAATAGCGAGCGGTACATGGGTCATTTAATTAGACATAAGTTAAGCAAGATGTCTTCCGAAGCCGTGAACTTGGGCGCAGATCTACGCAGGGAAGAGGTCCGTCGAGGTGGCGATCGTTACATTCGTGAAGTCAAATCCCCGAGAGGCGCACTCTTCGGGCCATTGGCGACATGTGCGGGCGTTTCGGCGCCATTTCAAGAACCGGTTTGCCAAGGAGCCTGGTCTCCGTGAGGAGGAGTTTTCGTAGATATTTGGCTGACTTTCCTCGGCTTTCGCCGACTGAAGCAACTAGCTGCGAGGGAGAGATTACGGATGGCGAAGTCTACGCGGTTTTGAAGAAGGTCGGCAGAGGCAAGTCGCCCGGTCTGGATGGTTTGCCCTATGAATTGTACTTGAGGCTGTCGCACATCTTTGTTCCAATTTTGACTGCAGTGTTCAACAACTGGTTTCGGTCGGGGTCCATCCCCAACCGGATCACCAGGGGTGTGATCACTCATGTTGAAAAAGGGCAAAGGTGGTGGGGGGAACCTAGATGATTACAGGCCCATAACTCTGCTAAACACAGAGTTAAAGATTATGGCCAAGATCCTGCAGGAGCGTTTGCAGTCAGTTGTCGAGTCTCTGTTGGGACCTGAGCAGACTTGTTCTGTGATGGGTCGAACAATTCAGAGCAAGCTGCATCTGATCCGCACGATCATAGAGGGTGTAAAAGACGACGAAGACGACGCACTGATCAATTTGGATCAGTCCAAGGCATTTGATAGGGTCGACCATCGCTACCTTGCTGCTGTCCTGCAGGCCGCTGGACTCGCACCCAACTTCTGCCGCTGGATTAGCCTCCTGTATCGCTCCCCCAGTGCGGTGGTACAGCTGAACGGAAGGTTGTCGGACGCGTTCGTGCTGTCTAGGTCGGTTCGTCAGGGTTGTCCGCTGTCGCCTCTCCTTTATGCTTTGGCGTTGGAGCCTCTCCTTCGCCGGCTGAAGGACGAGACCGGCAGTCCGGCTCTACGTGGAATTGCCGTTCCTGGAGGGTCTCGAGCCAGGGTTTCCGCGTACGCCGATGACGTATCTGCTTTCGTGTCGTCCCGCAACGACATTGAGGCGGTACAGAAGGCGCTTGATCGGCACGAGAAGGTGACAGGGGTCAAAATAAACCGTGACAAGTCGTCTGGCTTGCGGTTAGGTGCCTGGAAGGGGGTCGCTCTTCCGGGCCGCTTCGGTTAGACAGACGGTCCTGTCTGCATTCTTGGAGTGTGGTTTGGGCCTGACCTCCAGGTGGAGAAGAATTGGTCTGAGGTACGAGCAAAAGTCGATTCCGCCAGTCAGACTTGGAATCGACGGAGGTTGTCCGTGAAGGGCAGGGCGGAGGTGTGTGCTACATTTTCCCCCTGATTCTTTATCGATTGTCCGTACTTCCTCTCTGTAAGACCTACAAGAAGGCGCTCGATCGATCGCTATCCTCCATTTTATGGAGGGGACGCAGGAATCGGGTCGACAGAAAAGTCTGCACTAAACGTCCGTGTCATGGGGGGTTTGGGAATGCCGCACCTGCCGAGTCACATCCGTGCCTCTAGATTGGCTTTCCTACTCCGCGCATTGACTGGAGGAGATCCGATTCTGGAGGGGTTTGTTAGGGACGCG